AGAGAGAGAGAGAGAGAGAGAGAGAGAGAGAGAGAGAGAGAGAGAGAGAGCGAGAGAGAGAGAGAGAGAGAGAGAGAGGTCGGCACCGATACCTGCTCCCGTCCCAGCGCTTGGGAAAACGACCTGTAGTGGTACCGGTACCTCCCATTTATGCCGATTGTTGAACTGGCAGGCCATCGGAAGCATGGGTTTTTGTTTTTTTTTGCAGTTCGTAACTGCTCTTCACCCGGACCTGCAGTGTGCAGTTATTTCCGCAAATTCGGAACTCCGCACCAATCACAGGTGCAGACTCTGCAGAGTTGTCTTTGATTGTTGTTATTATTGTAATGAAGAGTTGGAGGAGCAATTGGAGGTTGAAGACATTGGGGAGATAAAGGGATATTGACATTGGTTTCGTTGTTGTTCATCATTTTTCTTCCATTCTTATTTCTTCTTCTTCCTTTGTCTATTTCTCTTTCCAGGTTCTTTCATTTCGGTTGCAGTTGAATGGCATTGTCTTTCTTTGAATTGTTGCACTGCATGATAGCCATGATCTTTACAGCACGAATATTTGGGTCCTTGTCTGGCATGAAAATCTGTGGAGCGAGCTGGAGTTGCAGTTGTCTTTCTATGCTCACACCAGGCTCAGTACTGTCCTCCTCTGGGCAGACTGCATGGTGATCTTCTTCTATCCAGTGGGCAATGTCTGCAAAATCAGACACAGTATAGGGGTTGCAAACTTGCAATTGTAAGCGAGCAGATATACATTAATTGCATAGTATGCACAGTGGTCTCACTGTAGCACTATCAAATCATTTGATTCTGTAGATTGTGCAGCAAGGAGACGCTTATTCAATTCTGGAGACCGCACGGTGGTGGAAGGATCCGGTCTTGACAATTTCTGTCAGGTTCATGTGGCTGTATTAACTCCATCGACCCTATAGCATGTGTTCCTGAGAGAGATCATCTCTCGACGGGGGGTCCATCAAATGATCAGAATGTGGATGATTGTCCGTAGGAGCGGGGGAGCAGTCAGGGCTAGGTGGAGAACTGGGTGGGTCAGATGCAAGAATCGGAGGCTGATCAGTCACACTTGTGCTCAAAGTGGCTGCTAGATGTGCAAATGCTGCACAGGTGGCTGCACTTCGTGTCTGGTGCACACGGAGGCCTGCAGCATCGTAAAAATAATCACCACATTGTGGGCATCAGACTCGGTATGTACTATTCCTGGCTAGTGTGTATTGGGAGCGACGACGTCATTCCGTACGGTTGCGAGTGTGGCATCGGAGCAGAACTCTAACCCCTGCTGGGGGTGCAATGGTCTTGCTGTTCAAGTACAAATGCGGCCACTGTCTAGAAGGCGGCGGTGGAGATGGGGGATGCCTCCGTCGAAGTGGCATCTGTGACAGCCGATCCGACCATGAATGGCTCTGCCAAAGAGACCTCTACGATATCCGATCTGACCATGAATGTGTGGATGATGAAGGCGATGATGAAGGGGAGGCATGCGAGGAGGAGGAGGAGGAGGAAGAAGAAGAAGAGGAGGCTGTTGACGGAGGGGATGATGTAGTAGAAGATGTAGGTGAGAGAGAGAGAGTATGACCAGTTTCTGCTGCCTTGCTACATATTGAATTTTAAGGAGGTGCCTTGTACTCACCTTCACTCCTAATGCACTGTTCGATGTAAGCGTTGCCGCGACGACAACAGGGCCAACCACCATTCTTGCGAAAGTGAACACAAGGGCAAAAATGACCTGCAATTAACCCATGACAGACAATGTCAGGCTTCGGTCTTCGAAATCTGTGCTGATCCTTCGTTCTTCTCTCTGCAATCAGACTCGACTTATTCGCACTTCATCATGCTTGCAAACAGCGATACAGCAAACTGGCGACATGCGCCCACACAGTATTCAAAGATATCGTAACCAGATATGAGTTCTCTTCCAACTGGCTATGGCGACTGTGCGCCCATACAACTCACTGTTCGCACTCGAGATCACCCTGGATGTCCCACACGCAACACTCTGTAACCCCACGCAGCACACACAGACTCACTACTATAGCTATGGCAGCTATGGCTGCCGTTACCCTATCGCTACACTACACTTCACTGCCCTCTTCGTCTTCGGGCGCACTCCAGACCTCCTCGCACAAGCTGCTGAGGCAGCGCTTCCGCATGGCATCCGCAGGAATGAGTAATGGCTGGACGCAGCCTCTTGATTTATACTTCTGCGCTGCGTTGGTCTGCCCTGTATCCCTTGGCCCATGATGTGCACAGTCCCAGACGGTACTTGCTTGACTGGACCGGACTGGGCTACCTGGGACTGCTGACTGGGCTAGGTGGACTACCACCACTTGACCACTTGCCTCTGCTGAACGCAGGCCAACTCCGAAAGGCCACTTCTAGAAGTTTCTCGTTTGGCCTTTCGGTACTGTAGCAGCTACGACTTTGCCCTTTCAGGTAAGTAGCGGCTACAACCTTGACCCTTCGGAGATCCTACAACTACGACTCTGGAATTGTCTAGACTCCTACTCTATAGGTCTACAGTTCAATTCCCTTCTACCCTGTGACCTACGACAAATTGCCTACCACTGGCGTTCCTACAGGTCGCAGGTTCAAGTCTACGGGTTGACACTGATACTGTACACAGGTAAGACGGGGATCTGGGGATCGAGCCCTGGGATCTGCATTCGCTACCGCGAACTGGTGAATGCCGTTTCATCTCCCACAACTTCTCTTGACAAAACAATTTAAATTAATCTATTGGTCCAGCTACCATTCTTGTATATGCTCATTAGGCCAACCAATTGATCTCCAAATACAAACCTGGCTGACGATGAGGAGTTGGGGGGGCGGGGTCAGGGAAAGGGGGAGCGAGGTCCGTTTTTGGCCAAGCAGACAGCCTGATAGATGGATAAACGGGCAGACAAACGGATGGATGGAAAGGACAGGCAGGAGGGGAAGGCGGGCGACTTGCTGGCCAAGCAGACATACTGATGGAAGTCACATATACAAAGAGACAGATGGAGGGGAGAGGCAGACAAACAGATGCATGGGCAGACGGATGGACAGGACCAGCAGCGGGGAGCCAGCCAGACTGACGGATGGACGGATGGAGAGATGGATGGAAAGGATGGGCAGGCGGACAGATGGAGGGGAAGGATGGACAGATCGACAAACGGGTGGATGGGGTGGGGCGCGCGGGGGGGGGGGAAGGATCTGGGKGACTTTCTGGCCAAGCAGATAGACTGACAGATGTATAGATGCACAGACAGACAGATATATGGAAAGGACAGGCAGATGGATGGATGGTTGGCCGAATGGACGGAAAGGTGCGCGGGTCCTAGGGTGGCAGCCAGGCAGACCGGCAGACAGATGTACAAATTGATGAGTGGAGGACGGACAGAGCCAGATGGGTAGATGGAAGAGCAGGGAAGCAGACAGACTTGCAGAAGGAGGAATGCCAGGTAGCTGCAAAGGTATGGGTTTGAGAGTAGACATGCTGGCTAGATTCGACGAAAGAAGGTCTTCGTACGGTTCTTCTGGTGAGTTCATTTGATTATAGCCACGTGGGCCTTGTAAAATTTACAAGCCTTGATGAAGTAGCATTGGTCAAGTTTGATCAGGCAGAAAGTGAGACGTTATCAAACTCGATCAATGTTAATTAATCAAGTAGACTAGCTAAGTGCCACTGGTGCGGGCTACGCCCGCAGAAATAACAAATGCATTTCGGATGCCTCGCCTCCAAGATGTTCGTCCGCAGAAACAACGACGACCTACCGGGGCGCACAAAACGACAGCCGCGCGATGAAAAAAGAAATTTAACGAAGGAAAAAAAAAAAAAAAAAAAGAAGGGGGACACAAAACGACAGGCCCAAGAAATGAAAAAAGGAGAAGGGGGACACAAAACGACGGCCAAACCAGGGAAAACAAAACAAAAAGCCACCCGCATATCAGATGGCTCGCCTCCAAGATGTTTGTTTGCATCAACGCCAGTCGTGTGCCCCGCCCCCTGGGCGCACACTCTCATTTAATAACACGCTGTGAACATTTTGGTACGCGAACCCCTCTGCACACTCCCCCGCCCTCGATCGCCTTCATCTGCTGCCCCTCACCAAAACTTCGACCCGAATCCGGCGCGCAGCGCGTCATGGACCTCCCCCCCCGCGGCCAACGCTGCTCAAGGGATAGGATTGACAATTTGTTTTGGTCAGGCTCAAACAGATATGTGATCAACCTCGACTAATCTTTCTATTTCTTTAATAATTAAATTGATGTTTAATTAATAGCTGTAAACCAGGTCCAGCATCCCTTACATAGCCTACTCACTCAACGCTTCCCTCCATTATGGTAGAGGGACCCTGAGTCAGTGGCATTAGTTACATCCTGAAGAGGAAGGATGTACTCCTGCACCCCTGCTTTTCTACTCATTGATCAACCTTCTTGGTCATTAATAAAGTTTTCAATCATTTCTTTGCACCTGATTGATCACGTTTGAACAATGTATCATTTTCCTCTATACCTATATAGACATGGTGAGCTTGCAAAGAGATAAACATTCATAAAGCTCTTTGATCTGCACGGAGCGGGGTCGGTTTGACATTACACAACTGCCGACCTATTTATTTTGCACAACTGCAGCTGCATGTGTCTCCATCCCTCTGCGACACGGAGCCTTTCAGAAAAGAGGTGTGGATCACTTGCCTCGTTGACCAGCGAGAGCGTGGTGTCCTTATACCCGAGCTCTTTCAAAAATATCCGGCTGTGCATGCAGGGGCTTGAAAGCTCCATCAACCACAGACATGCGATGAGTTCTGTGCCGCACTGCAAAGAAGTCAAAAGAGTGAAAACAAAAGGTTGAAAAGCCAGAGAACTCTGACAAAGTCAAAACCAAACGGCATGTTACATCACTGCTGCTGGAGGTCAAGCGATCATTTGTACCTTAAGATAATCGTCAATCTGCTTTTTTGCTTTCTGTTTTATTGTGATTTGCCTTCTTTTGGTGGACTTCCATGTCTCCTGGACCTGTAACATAGTTCCGTAGTGCTCGTTTCAGGGAGAATCCGGGTGAAATCAGCTTATAGATTATCAAACAAACAAACAGTGAGCAAGAAAAGGGGGATGGAAGAGAAGGGAACAATAAAAAGAGTTAGGAATACATTCTAATCACCACAAACGCTGCACTCTAGTTTCTCCAACAAAGCAGCTGGCACAGCTTTCTCAGAGTTTCACTGCTTCCCTCCTCTTCTAAGTTGCTTCCAATTTTTCTCCTGTTTCTGAAGAAAGCAGGCGAGCGAGAACACTAGATAGGAAATGGGGATGGACAAGACAACAAAGAAGAGAAGCAAGGTACACCATAAATTCTATTTCTTGCATTTTAGTTCCACTCGGTGTCGAATATGTACAACATGTATGCCCATACATGTAGATAGCCGCACCTTAGGACAGTAGCACTGCATTAGCAGCAGCAAACAAGTGACGAATTGCTCTGGAGAGTCGAGACTTAAAAACATGCACAGATTCTGAGATTCCCTGATGAGGTTGTCCATTGCACTACCAACTGGTTCCGTAGGCATATAAGACCGACCTGAAATATTCAACTGGGTCCATAATGACATAACCCCTTGTACCGCCACTGGATACATAGGCATATAAAGAGACATACCTGAAATATTTAACTGGGTCCATAAGTAGGGTCAACTGAAAGATCTTCGTAGGCCGAGGGAGGGCGCAGGGGGGAAGGAAGGGCTAAATAGATTCCCCGAGTAGCAGCGAGTGAGATGGGAGAAGCCCCATTGAAATGTATGACGCAGACGAAATGTGTGGACAAGCCACATTGAAATGTGCGACACAGATGAAATGTGCGGACAGCACAACGGAAGGAAGACAGAGACAGATGGAGAAGGAAGGAGAGAAGGTTGCGGGAACAGACACATGAGTGAGAGAGAGAGAGAGAGAGAGAGAGAGAGAGAGAGAGAGAGAGAGAGAGAGAGAGAGAGA